CTGCATTTATGGCTTTCTTTTATCCTGTAACTGTAAAACCATGTTACCGCTTCCATCCTGAAACATGTTATGAAAGACAACCTGAATCTGTGTTCATGAGCTTTGGTCGCTCTCATTTGTCTCAGGAAAATCTCTGATTCCCACTGAGGTCAGAGCAGTTGTTTGCATCAGCACCTCCTCCACCATGAGGGACTGTGCTTTCCAACTGTGAGCTGAGATACGTCCTTCCACTCTGAGGTGGCTTCTCATCAGCTATCTGGCGAGCAATGAGAAAAGAAACTAACACAAGTGACCGCGGAAGAGAACATGAGACACAACTTGGGCAAAAACAGCAGTAGTGGGGGATGGGAAGACTGCGTCACCTGGACAAAAGGTGCCACCCAAATCCTGAAGCCCCTTCAGTAAATCCACATGTGCTGAGTAACAACTGACACACGCCAATGGAGGTAAGTAAAAAAGCGGTGAGAGAATTAACCACAACTCAGTCTTGAGAAGGACAAAAAAGAAGAAACTATAGAAATAAATCATAATGTGGTTGATTAGCAAATATACACAGACACACCACATGCTTCCCCTCCAAAATACACAAAGGATTTGCAAATATTAATCACAAGCAAGTTGGCAGCGTAAAAAGCACAATAAACTCAGAAGAGATGAACTGCGTATCCTACTGTCGGTGTATAAAAAAATAACATGTGTATGAATAAGTCAATTAAAAGGAAATCAAAATGTTAGGTAGGAAAACAGAAGACAAGTCCTGTGAGTGAAACACGAAGGGCAGGACTGAGGGCTGTCCCAGGTTTCAATGTCACATTATCTCATAAGAAAAGCTGAGGAAGCCAGTGGCCAGGCAGCGGTGGTGCACACCTTTAAACCCAGCATTCAAAGGTAAACGCAGGTGGATCTCTGAGTTCAAGGCCAACTTGGTCTACAGAGTGAGTTTCAGGACAGCCAGGACTACACAGAGAAAAACCCTGCCTCAAAAAAAAAAAAAAAAAAAAAAGGAAGAAAGAAAAACAGGAGACTTCAGGACCCAATCTGCTACAGTTGCAAGGAGAAGCAGGGAGGAAAAGCACTCTGGTTAATTATGGGAAAACTAGAACTTAACTCTATTCCCACCCCACCCCCCACCCCCGCCACTCCATATCTTTGGATGAACCAATGAATTCGTTCAGAACCTCTGAGATCCAACAGCAAAGGAAATGAGGCTGATTTCCCTCGCAGTCTGCAGCTATAACGCAGACTTAATTATGCAAGAAAACCACGGAATTTGGTAAAATGCTGATGTACAACAGAAAGTTCTGTAAAGTGGCCACATGGACTCTTAGGATACCCTGCATGCCTCCGAGAATGCATGGACATTTCAGGGAACTGCACAGATTCTGGGGAAGAGGCTGAGGATGAAGGAAGTCTGATTGGGCAAACAACAGGACTGAATGAAAAGGAAGACATTCCTACTCGTAGGTATGGTTGAGGAGAAAGGTTTTATGGTACATATGAAGGAGAGCACAGCCAGAGGCATCTGGAAGCATCCAGACTGAAAAGAGCCATGAGGGGAGGGGTCGAGGGTGGGGGGGAGAAAGAGAGAGGAGAGAGAGGCCCAGAGAACCGAGAGAGCACATGGGAACCAAGACAGCATGCAGTCAAAATGGCTGAGTTCTATAGAATCGGAAGCTGTGGGGGAAGCAAAGACCAGCCCCTGGGTTAGAGAGGCTGAGGGTGGGATGGGGTGAGAAGTTGTGGAAGGTGTCACAGGTACTTAGTGAGATTTGTCCCAGATTTCTTTGGGACCTGACAAGGACAAAGCATGAAAACAGAAAGCACATCCTCCAAAGCAAGGAAACAGGAAGTATGCCTTCTAAGGCCCGGAAACAGGAAGTGTGTCCTCCAAAGCACAGAAGCAGGAAATGTGTCCTCCAAAGGACAGAAACAGGAAATATAGCCTCCAAAGCACAGAAACAGGAAGTGTGTCCTCCAAAGGACAAAAACAGGAAATGTATCCTCCAAAGGACAGAAACAGGAAGTGTGTCCTCCAAAGGACAAAAACAGGAAATGTATCCTCCAAAGGACAGAAACAGGAAGTGTGTCCTCCAAAGCACAGAAACAGGAAGTGTGTCCTCCAAAGCACAGAAGCAGGAAGTGTGTCCTCCAAAGGACAAAAACAGGAAATATAGCCTCCAAAGCACAGAAACAGGAAGTGTGTCCTCCAAAGCACAAAAACAGGAAGTACGCCCTCTACAGCACAGAAACAAGGACCATCCCCTCACAGTGTTAAACAGGAAGCAAGCCCCTTCACCTGAACCCAGTCCAGCTTCTCTTCCACTGGATACCAGGGGCTTCAAGTCCCCACAGCCAAGCTGTGTGGCACTTCTGTCCAAGAACGGAACATCCTGACAGCCAATAGACTAAACCTTGTGGCTGTACCTTTCCAACATCTTGCGGGTATGTTCAACTCCTGAGGCCTCCATTCTGTCCCACCCCCAGCCTTTTCCAAGAACCTTCCACACACTTCCTTTCTGCTGGTTTCACTCAGTTGGTATCGATGGAGGGAGACCCTGAGACCACCTCTGAAAGTCTACACAGACAACCTAACCAGAGCCCAGTCCTAGAACCTAAGCCACCATGTTCACACTGCAGAGTGTGTGGTTCTCAGGGGAGTTCCATTATATTCCTACAGTGCTGGCAATGAGCCACTGAAAGCCAGTATTTAAGTCAGGGCACCACCAGCAAGATGGGTGCCCATACCAGGCTCAAGTACAAAACCCAGTGAGGGCACAAGACACTTAGGTGCCACCCACGGAAAGGTACAGGGAACCGCACATCACAACTGAGCCATGAGCAGAGACAGCAACTACACACACTTATGTACAGAAATGAAGGGAACAGCAACCAGGGCACCCAGGCAGTTCAAATGAGGCATCTGGCAGCGAAACACAGGAAGGCCAATGCCTAGAATAGACAAGAGGTTCATGCCAGAAACCCCATCACTCCTCCAAGAGGATTTTCTGCAATTCTGTCCCTGAGAGCCAAATTCCTGCCAGTCCTCAAGTGAGTCACCATCATATGAAGCTAACGAGTAGGTGAACAGTTATTGTGGTCGTTTGAATGTAATTGGCCCCCATAATCTCATAGGGAGCTGTGGCTTTGTTGGAGTGGGTGTGGCCTTGTTGGAGGAAGTGTGTCACTGTGGAGCAGCACCTTGAAGGTTTCCTATGCTCAGGATACTGCCCAGTGTTTCAGTCAACTTTCCTGGTCCCTGCAAGCCAAGATGTAGCCAGCACCACATCTGCCTGCACACCGCCATGATAGTAGACTGAACCTCTGAAACTGTAAGTGAGCCACCCCTAATTAAATGTGTTCTTTTCAAGAGCTGCCATGGTCATGGTGTCTCTGCACAGCGACAGAAACCCTAACTGAGACAGCTGTGTTTCTGATTTCACAATTCAGACACTTGGCTGATGGCTTCCAGCAGGCACCAGGGAAGTCAAGAGTGTGAGGTGAGAAGGGTCTAGAGAGGTGATAGCTCAGAAAGCTCCCAGCAGCAGGAAACATGGTGGACCGGAGCTATGGAGATAGCATGGCTAAGGACTCCTATGGCCTGTATCACTGAGAGATGTAATGTGTGTGTTGACAGAAACCTCACCACCCACAAATTCCCCACCCAAAGCAAGGTCGCCCATATAGCAAAGAGACCTGATGAGGAGAGGTGAGGGTGGAGATAGCAATGGAATTTCACCTGCAAACTGGAACTTGTTTCCTGGCTCTCTGCATGCCAGCCTGTTAAGTGTAGCAACAGTGACTGACACAGATCCATAAGGACATTGTATTGTCACAAGGAACAGCAGAAATGATTTCAACTGTGGTTTGTTCCAGACCACACACACACATACGCGCGCGTGCGCGCACACACACACACACACACACACACACACATCCCCACAGCCTAACACAAGGGTTTTTTACAATGTTGCAGGACCCCGGAAATCCCAAAGCTCCCTGGCCTCTGTGTAGACAAGTCCTTGAGTACAACCCAACCAGAAGTGCCCACACCCCAAGCTTTCCTCTGCTGTGTTCACAGCCAAACAGGTCCCTCTACCTGGTGGTGCTACAGGAAGCCCAGCCACCCAGATTCATCCTCCACACCACTAAATTTGGCCTGTGGATGGAGAAGACAATGAGACCAGTTCTTCTTTGAAGCTTTGCCCAAGAACTGCTGTGCCTGAAAGGCCACAGACCTCTCTAAGAGGCCCCAGCACTTCCCAACATGTTCTTGCTTCCCATCTGTCCCTGAGTGAGCCTCTTCTCTCATGGTTATATTAACTATATTATTGCTACACAGGTCCCAGTGAGCCTTTCCCACAGGACAGATACTCTTTGTGGGGATGCTGGCAGAGACAATGTACGTCCACCAATCTGTATGCCACGTTCCCCAATGAGACTTGGCCATGTGCAGACAGCGACATTTACACGCACCTCTCTGCTCACCTGCCCTCAGCTGAGAGGCTATGTATCTCTTCCCTTCCTCCACAGCAAGAGGTGAGGGATCTGCCTGTTGGGCACTAGAGGGAAGTCTCATGTGGATGCTTTTCCAGAGGAAGCTAGAGCTGGCCTTTCGGAGCAAGGATGCTGTCATCTCTATCAACACCACCTCTCCTTGGAGAGACTCCTGTTCCCTCCTCTTGCATCCTGAGACCTTCCCTGGGTGGACCTTCAGTCCCGCAGCCCCACACAGGACAAGACGCTCCCTTTCCTGATCTCTTGTGGCAATTTATTTAACTTCCTCTTGCCTCAGTTTCTTCAAAGCAACAAAGTCATGAAAATTTATCTGGAAGTCATGAGGCTCTAACAGGTCAGTTCAGAGTGGAAAGGGCAAAGCCAAATGGTCAGCCCTTAAGGGTGTCTCCTCCTCCCATCCTTCCTCCAGTCCTTGAGGGAGACTAGGCCCTTTCTGTGTTCATAAACCCCTCTGAGGGAGCGTTCTAGAACACTGCAAGGATCAGCCTGTCAGACAGCTCTCCCAGCCCTTCCCTGCCTCTGCCCAGGGCAGTAGGTACAAATTCCAGACAAACTGGATCAGAGAGGAGGGTTAAGGCACGGAGACCTTCTCTCTGAAGGTTCCTCTTGGGCCTGGGTGTACCACCAGGATACTGGCCCTTGAGCATGCCTGAGAACTCTCACAATGCTCTCATGGATCCAAAAACGTGGCACTTCTGAGCACAGGGCCGGGCTAGAGACCCCACTGCAGGGCCCCGAGCAACGCTACTGGTTTGTGTGGGACCCCCTGGGCATTGTATGCGCCATTGCTACATGGACGCTAATGATGAGTGCTGCGTGGATACTGATCCGGGACCTGTTCATACCATCGAAGAACGTATTCTACGCCGTGGCCAACGGTGTGCTCTTCCATCTGCTGGCCTCCCTGGCGCTCGTGTCGCACCTACGAACTATGCTAACTGATCCAGGCTCTGTGCCACTGAGAAGCCGACCCGGGCCTGACACCGTGTCCTTCTGTTCCCTCTGCCTAAGTGCCGTACCAGAGAGGGCTTACCACTGCATAGTGTGCGGACGCTGCATTCGCAAGAACGACCACCACTGCCCCTGGGTCAACAACTGCGTGGGTGAGGACAACCAGAAATACTTCTTGCTCTTCACTCTGTTCACTGGGCTTGTCTCAATCCACGTGCTGCTCCTGCTGGGCATCCCTTTCCTGCGCAGCCCCGTCTGGCGCGAGTGGAATGCCAACAGCACCGTGACGCCACGTAGCCCCATTCTCTTCCTCTTCCTCGTGGCCTTAATGGGCTTCCTCTTTGCTTTGGTAATGCTCTGCAGCCAGATGTGCTCCATCTGCACAGACAAAACCACAACTGAGACGCTGTACCAGAACAAGCGTTCACTGGAAAGACGGTCCGTGTGGTCAAACGTGTAGGCCATTTGCGGCCCCCGAGTCTCCCTAGCCTGGCTCAGTCCTTTTCATTCCCCGGAACGTCACAAAGCGAGTGAGCACCACGATATGGCCTAAGTCGATCACAGGTGCCTAGAGCAAAGAACAGCAACACAGACCGGAACAAGCTAGCTCCCTGAAGGAAATCAAAAGAGGATTATACCTCCGATTTTCTAAGCAAGAAAACAGGACAGGAAAGACAGCTGTTGGTGAAACCCAGAGGAGAGTGCTCTGTATGTCCCTCTGTGACTTTGAAAGCAATTAAATGCATCCAACCACGGATGAGTGTGTTTCGTTGGTGCCCACCCTTGTTTGATGCCGACTGTACATGCTAACATATTCACATGCTGATAACCTGCTTTCTACAGTGAGCGACAATGACATCATCTGATTCTGAGCCATCTTTGCATTCCTCGCCAGTCCAGTTCCATTGTAGGGTGTGGGGTTTGTTTTTCCTTCTCATTGCTCTCATATGTTCTCATATTGTTGGCTTTGATTTTAATTAGGTTTTTTGTTTTGTGGTTTGTCGATATGCCCTAGCTTTATTTTTTTAGTCTCTTTGTTGTGTTTATTTACTGATTAGGGGGATGCACACATGCACAGTGCTTTTGTGGAGGTCAGAGGACCTGCTTGTGGGAGCTGTGGACCCCTGAGCACCACACTGAGATTAGTGAGCAGGACGGCAAATACCTTTACCTGATGAACCGTGTTAGTGGTCCGACCTTGATTCCTTTGTTGGTTTTATCTACTCACATTTGACTCCAGATCCAGCAGCCGCTAGAATGACTGGGAGAGCCGGGGGTTACATCTTATTATCAGACTGGACAAGATCAGCCAGAGGTTCCTCAGAATAGGGGGCAGGAATCATTAACTATAACTTCTGCCTTAAGGTTCGGATTTGAAGGTCCCTGGTAGCAATGAGCACGACAGGAGACTCCTAGTACCTTAACCTGTGCCACTATATGACCCTTCCTATGCCAACATACCAACATCATACCAACTCCAGGAAACCTATATGGGTGCCAGCCTCCAACCCTGTGCAGATGTCATGGTACAAATGTGTCCACATGTCAATCCATGAGGGCTCATGTGTCTAGCACCACACCAGCACAGACCAGCCCCTTTTCAGGTGCCCCTCCCTCCCCTCACCTAGGCAAACACTAAGATCTTCTGCGTCTCTGTACCTTTGTCATTTCAAACACACTACATCAATGGAGTTATACAGCATGCCATCTTTCAAGGCCTTTTTAAAATTTATTCATCATATTGTCCTGATTATTTATCTGCATTGTGCCTGTGTTCGTAGTTGGTTTGTATTTATTGATAAGTGTGATCAGTGCTGTGGATCCGCTGCAGTGTTTGGTCGTTTGTCCACGGAAGAGCTTGGGGGTCTTTCCTAGTCTGGACCTGTTATATGCACATGAAGCTGCGATGGGCATTGTGTGGCAGTCGAATGTGTGTATATTTCTACTTCTCTGTCATCAGCACCCAAGGCTGCACTCGCTGGTCACAGAATAGGATGTGTGAGTCCTGCAGTGTCTGTTTCCTGTGGCCTTCACGCCTTCTACTGCTGCCAGCAGGGATGAGGGACACGTCTTCTCCACACCCTCTCAGCCTTGGGTGGTAACACCAGGCATGTCATCCAGCCATTCTCGTGGGTGTGTGGTGACACCTCACACGGTTTCCATTTGTGTTTCTCTACTGACTAACAGGCCTAAGCCTCCTCTCCTGGGCCTGTTTTCCACCTGTCTCTGTGATTTCTGCTGCTTTTCCAGTTGGTTTCTTGGGCATTTCCTTGGGTACAAGGCTCTCCATGACTTCTGTGAGTTCAGTCACTCGAGTCTGTGTTCCAACGAGCTGTCTCTCTCCCACTGGCTTCGTTTGGCATGATATCAGATTCACTCTGATCTGGGAGGGTCTGTTTCTATGTCTTGTATCTCCATGGTCCTGGTTTCTGACCCCCTGCACACAGCCCTCTGTCTTGGTTACTGGCTGTGGCTGCCAGTAACATCAAATGGGATGCTTCCTCCAACTTTCTTTCTGAAAGTGTTGTGACTCTCCATCTTCTTCATTTACATTTTAGTGTAATCTTTCCTGAGTGTAGGTAAGTAAAGAAATCTACGGGGAATGTTAATAGTGTGAAGGGCGGGGGCTGAACTAGACCCCTCTGGACCTTCTGCTCAATTTTGCTTTGAACTTAAAATTACTGTGAAAAAAGATAAAGTGATGGAGAGATGGCAAACCTGGTATCCAAGCGCGATCCCTGAAACCTATCTAAAAAGCTGAATACACAACGGCTCGCATCTGTAATCCCAGGTGAGACAGGAGGTAGAAACAAGAAAATTGCCTAGAAACACAAAGGCATGGGCCAGCATCCCAGAGTATGCAGTGCGGGAGAAACAGAAGAAAGACTGCCTCAATAGTATGCAGTAAGAGAACCAATTCCTGGAAGGTTGTCATCTGACTTCCACATGTCCACTATGACACGCATGCACCCACACTCATGTGCACAAATGCACACACGCACACAGACACTATTAAAAAGTTGGGCTGGAAAGATTGCTCAGTGGTTAAGAGCACTCATTCTCACAGAGGACCTGGGTTAGATTCCCGTCATCCACACAGCAGTCATGACTGTCAACAACTCCAGGTCCAGAAGTCACATGATGCACATACATATATGTGAACAGAACACTCATACACATAAAATAAAATAATCTACAAAATGTTTTGAAAGAAAGTCACAGCAGGCAACAAAAAGGCAACTAGTTAGGTGTTGTGGCTGTTCACTCCTTTAATCCGAGTACTTGGAAGGCAGAAACAAGTGGATCTCTGAGTTCAGGGCTAGGCTGGTCTACAGAGTAGGTTCAAGGACAACCAGGGCTGCATATTATACTCTGTCTCAAAGTAATAATAACAATAATGCTAATGTAATAATAATGAATAAAATTTAAAATAAAGTGATGAGAAGTGGGGGAGAGAAAGAGAAGGAAGGAGAACCAATGGGAGAAAAAGAGAAGGAAAAAGGAGGGATCTTGCTGGGTTTAGGGGAAAACTGACCCTAAGCTGCTCCGAGCCTTCGTCTTCACAACCCGATGTGCTGTCTTACTTCAGTGTTTCGGCAGTTCTGTCGCCACACTCTCTGAGTCTCCCCCTGTGTTCGGTCTCCTGTGAATGGTGGTAGGCGTTGGTTCAGTTTCCATACTCAGTATGTAGGGTCTGGTTGCCTTGTGTGCCAGGCTCCCTTTCTGCCACCCTGCCAAGCTCACAGGTTTCATCTTGGAAGGTTTTTACGTTTTGTTTCTGTAGCTCTCAGCATGGATGTCTGTCCTGTCTGAATGGAGTCCTCTCAGCATCTTTCCCTGTGACATGTCAATTCAAGTCTTTTGCCTATTATTTTTTTTAATTGAACTGGATGGAGTTTTTCTAGAGACAAGCCCTTGCCCACGTAAGAAATAACTCATTACACTCCATTTTCAGTATGAGGTGCACTCAGAGCTCCTCAGAGAGTCCCAGGCAAGCAGGGGGCACTCCGTTCCTGTCTTCCCTCGCTGGCCACTGGCCCCTGCTTTTATGTATGCTCCCAATTCATCCTGCAGTTGAAAAGTTGCAAGCAGTCTGCTATGTGACTGAACCCACAAATCAGAAACAGAAGGCATCTCCAACCCAGGATACACATTAGATAAGGCTTTGTGTCCTAAGCCAATAGAGTGTGGAATTCAGGGAGGGGGCTCTGCTAGATGAATGTGAAGATTGTCACTCTCTGAAGTACCAGTGTGGGAAAGAGAAGACACTTCACAGTCTGGAACCTTAAAGATCACTGTTGCGCACCGTACTAATTCCTTCTTCATTGCTGTGATAATAACCATGAACAATGCAACTTTCAGAAGCAAAGGTTTATTTGGCTTATGGTTCCAGTGGGCTAGGGGTTCATCATCGGGGGCAGCGGGTAAAGCACGCAACAAAGCTTTCAGAGCCCACCCCAGTGATGCACTTCCTCGAGGAGGAACGACACACCTTCTGAGCACCCCAAACATTGCCACCAACTAGAGACCAAATGTTCAGATCTCTCTGGGAGACATTCTCATTCAAACCACCACATGCACCAAATTGGCACACCAGCTATTTTTGCCTTTTCTCTAGGTTGACCTCCATTCCTGCAGAATAAAAAATAAAACTGTTTGCTTCTAACAGTCTCTTGAGTTTTCTTGCTTCTCAACATTCCAAAAACTATCTGAAAATGTTCTGCTGTCTCTAGCTTGCCTTTCCATTCAACATTTTTTGTTTTGATAGGGTCCAAGGAACTTTTTCCCCTTTTCTGTGCCTTGGTTCCATGCTTATGGGATGCTGCAAAGGCAAGATGGAGGTCAGTGTTCCAAGCTCCCATTAGACAGCATCCGCTACAAGTCACAGTGACCATAGTTAGTGATGACATCCTGTATGCCTGCAAATCGCTAAAAGAGTACGCTTTTAGAGGTCCCACCACAATAAATGATACATTTGTGAGATGATAAATACTCTAATTAGTGTGATTTAAATGTTGCATAGTGCATTGTTATCATCATGTTTTGCCCTATGAGAATATACAATTGTCAGCTAAATAATTTTTAAATATTGCTCCATCAACTTTTAACTTTATTTTTATAAATCAGGCACAGTAACAAAGTTACAACTTGCAGCTACTCTTAGCAACCCCAGCACGGTTTGTTTTCATTTCCCATCTTCTTTTGGGTTTTGACTTCACATATTTCTATGTTTTTAGATCATTTGTTTTATTCTAGGAGTGTTTTGCCTGCATGTATGTATGAGCATCATGTGGATACCCAGTGCCCATAGAAGCTAGAAAAGGTCAACAGATACTCTGGGCATTATGAATGGCTGTGAGCCACCATGAGGGTGCTGATAACCAAACCCTGGTCCTCTGCAAAAGCAACAAGTGGGTGTAACCACAGAAGCAAATCTTCAGCCCTTATTATATTTTTTATTCTTTGAAGTTCCATACATTTATACAATGCAAGTTCATCATAACCATCCACCTCCCTTCTGCTCCCCTAGTACACCCTTCCCCATCTCCCTCCCAACTTCATGTACAGTTAGTGTTGCCCATCTGAGCACACACATCCACCACATACACACACAAAGTTATTTTTCTGTGTCAGTGATATCACCAAATATTTTCTCCTCTTTAGACAATTATATAGCAAATATGTATACTTACTTATAAATATTTAAATTGATCCTGCGTTCTTAGGCCAAATGACACTCGTGTGTTTGTGCATT